TCTGTATTTGGGGAGTTCTTGGCTGAGATTTCCCCTGTTAAAGTCAGTGAGAACAATAACAAGGGGGTCCGGGTTTGTCTGCATCACACACAGTATCTGGTCGGTTGTTTTGCCGGAGAGTTCTGTGTCGCGGTTCGCTCTGTACAGTTGGAAGCCTGCCAGCTGCAGCGCAGAGTCCGGTATCAGTTCAGACAGCCAGGTCTCCATGGAGGTTGCCACACATCAACCCTGAAGAATATACATCATCAGTGACGACTTACATCGCCAAATGTGTTGATGATCACTAAAATGATAGAATCATTCCCCAGTCAGAAGGCCTGGATGAATGGAGAGGTGAGGGCTGCTTTTCGGTTGGGTGATAAAGAAGCTTACAGCACCACCAGGCAAGACTGAAAGCTGGCATCAAGGAGGCAAAGTGGAGACATCAGCAGAGACTGGAGAGAGACCTCAACACCAACACCCCCAAAGATATGTGGCAGGCCATCAAAAACATCACAGACTACAAAAGCAGGAGCTCCCCCATCATGTGTGAGGCCACATTACCAGATGAACTTAACACCTTTTATGCTCGCTTTGATCTCCTCAACAAGGAGTCAGCTGTAAAGTCTACTCCACCTCCAGAGGACCGGCCACTGTCAGTATCCACAGCAGATGTGAGGAGAGTCCTGCTGAGAGTGAATATGAGTAAATCAGCTGGTCCTGATAACATTCCTGGCTGTGTACTAAAAACCTGAGCCAATCAGCTAGTTGATGTTATTACTGACATTTTCAACATCTCACTCTCAGGAGAGGGTTCCCACCTGCTTCAAGACAGCCACCATCATTCCTGTACCTAAAAAGTCTGCGGTGTCCAGTCTGAAAGACTGCAGCCCTGTGGCTCTGATGAATTGCTTTAAGAAACTGGTTCCTCAGCATATAAAGGACAACATCCCAGCCAGCCTGGACCCTCACCAGTTTGCTTTCAGAACCAACAGATCCACAGAGGATGCCATCTCCACTGCCCTCCACTCAGCCGTCACACTCCTTGAGAGAAACAACACCTACATCAGAATGCGGTTTGTGGATTTCAGCTCAGCATTCAACACAATCTCCCCATGAAACTGATCAGCAAACTCAGCACTCTGCAACTGGATATTAGATGTCACAAACAGACCCCAGTCAGAACCTGACATGGTCATCTCACATTTCCAGCGAAGCCCTCATTCTTCTGTTGCCCGGAAGAGCCGGAGTCGTACGGCGAGGATTCCATTTCGCTGTCGGCCTCCACTTCCCTGCCTTCCATCGGCGGCCTCATCAGAGAGCTTCCTGCCATCATCCAGAGGCGGCTGCACACTGTCAGCTGTCTGTTCTCATCACCAACGTGGAAGGCTTTTCAGACCAAGGTTTCAGTTCGTTCCCCCTGCTGGAGCACCCCCTCACGGCGTTCTTTGATGTGAAACCAGCTCAGGTGGCGACCGCACAGCGTCCCCTTCTGGCTTTTCCGGAACCGCAGTGGGTGGCCCTTTTCGCCAACAGAGCCCACCAATGTGCCGTCCAGAACTCAGTCTCTGCCAACAACATGGCGCTGATTGCTTCCTCTTTCACGAAGCTAGCAGCTAACTCCACCACCATGACGGAAGAAGAAAAGGATGAAATCAGCAAAGGGGCCAGCCCGCAGATCACGAAGTGCGCTGCTGCGGCCGTCACCATTGCTGTCGAGTCAGCCATGGAAAATTACCCTGGAGGGGGGATGCACTCTCTCATGCGTAAGACGCGATCAGGAGTTATCTGCTGAGCAACAGTGCCTGGAGAGTTTAGGTCTCTCCCTGGCAGTGTTGTGCACAATCCAGGGGTCGAAAGCCGCTTCTACTCAGTCCTCTTACTCCTCCAAATGGTCGGCGTACCAATGCTGGTGTTTGGACCAGCAGTTGGACCGCGTAGCTTGTTCGCTGCTGGGGGTGCTTTCATTCCTTCTGCTGCTCATGGACAGAGGCCTGGCGTTCAGTACTGTTAAAACCTACGCGGCTGCCATGTCTAGCGGGTTCGCTTACCCGCTAGTGAAGCGTTTCCTCTCTCTTTCTCTCCTTTCTCTTTTTCCTCCCCCCCATGGCTCCTCTGCTTGGCTGCCTGGCGCCGTTCAAAGCGCCTGTTGGTGCAGCGCCTGTCTCACTGGCTGTGCAAGGTTATCTCACAGGCCTATGTGTCAGCCGGTGTATGTCCCCCGGACGGCATCAGGACGCACTCCACGAGAGGCATCTCCTCCTCTGTGGCATTGCACAGTGGAATGTCGGTGGACGACATCTGCACGGCGGCCTCCTGGTCTTCCCCGTGCTCTTTCGTCCGTTTCTACCTGCGGGATGTCTCCCGATTCTTGCTGACTCACTCAGTACTGAGCGTTCTGTCCGAGTGATTATCCTCTGCGAGTGCGCAGTGTGCTTCTCCCATCTGGACAGTGGGGAGCGGTCGTCAATTCTTGGTCCATCCAGTAGCTTTGTCTTTATGATGGTCGGGTCAAGGCTTATTTTAGGATTAGTGGGGGACAGTTTGTTGCAGTCTCTGGACAGTCCAAGCAACTGTAAACTTCTGTCACCACAACTGAGGGCCTGTCTCTCCATTCATTTGATTGGACAATGAAAAAAGACGTGATCCTCCAGGGAGCATTTCAACTGTTCAAAAGTTACCCGAAACGTTTTGTTGCAGTTATTGCTGACATACTCAGCACTGACTGCCTGTTTTTAATAATTTAATTATGTTTTTGGACTTTCTTTTGAGGACCTCATAAAAATGTTATTACCTTATGGCTTCACAGTCAATGTTCTGCAGCCATACTGAAAGTATTTAAGTATGTGCTATATATGTTGAATAAATGTTGTATGGAAAAACTTGCATGGATTCTCTTCACTTGCATGACACAATGGGAGTGTTGTATGCAGTGTTACACACTGGAATGTGTATGGAGAAGAATGATTTACACAGGATATAGCACACTGGTAAATCCTTCTTTTGGCCAGATGGCCTACATTAGGACATTTCTGATGTGAGTTTGTTGTCAGAGATGCTAAGAAGCAGTGTTAGAACCAGGTTAGAACAGAAGGGCATGCAGGTTTAACTCTGGGCTGAGGGTGAATGATGAAGATGATAACTAGGTAGCAGATAAGACAAATATCAACAACCAAATGAAATGAACAACAACAAATGCATCTGTATCAGTAATCTGGATGCCATCGATCTTTGTAATATTGACAACACTTTACTGTTCACAGCATTTACTAAAATAAGCCTTAATCTGTAATGCTAAATAACAGAAATACCTTTGTTTAATTCATCACAAACATGCTCCAAACTGATCATACAGTTGACTCGCTACCTCTCATAAACTGTTAATCTCTTAATCATGAAGGGGGATTTATTGCATTATTTAATTAGTTTTCACTAATAAACTGTCATCTAAGTGTATATTTTTGTGGAGACATTGCATTGTCTTAAGGCAAAGAGGGAGAGCCACAGCAGAAATGGAAATTCTTTGGGAGAACCTTAATTTTGAAAAGTAGCCTTAAGTACAAAGATAAGTGATGGAGCACACATCAGAAGCAAGTGTTTGATGAAGTCCCACCCACCAATGAAAGGAAATATTGAGTAATAAATTCGTATTTTTGTTTTGATAAAAAAAAAACGAAAAAAATGAAAAATCAAACTGAATGTTGTTTTTTTCGTTTCAGGCCCAAAATTGAAAAAAACGGAAAAACGACCCGTTTCTGGTTTCTGCCTTTGTTAATTATACCAAAAAAACAAACGGTTAAAACGTACCTTGGTCCAAAATCGGACCATTATTTGAATGTGGTTTAGTCGTTCTTCGTTTTTGGATTCAGAAACCAAAAACGGGTGAACGAGTCTTTTTTTCCATTTGTTCGTTTCTGGTTTAAAACGACAAACGAAAAAAAGGTGGTTTTCTCGTTTGTTCGTTTATTGGTTCAAACGAAAAAACAAACTATCAGAATGTACACGGACCGTACACAGACCAGCCATCCCCAAATTGTTTCCACAAAGTTAGGAGCATGAAATTGTCCAAAATGTCTTGCACTGGAACTAAGGGGCAAAACCCAAACCGTGAAAAAAAACCCCACACCATAATCTCCCTCCACCAAACTTTACACTAGGCCCAAAGCAAGTACCGTTCTCCTGGTAACCCCCAAACCCAGACTCATCCATCAGATTGCCAGACAAAGAAGCGTGATTCGTCACTCTCGAGAACATGTCTCCACTGCTCTAGTGTCCGGTGCTTCACACCACTGCATTCAATGCTTTGCATTGCACTTAGTAATGTAGGATGCAGAGGCTCGGCTGTGGAAACGCATTCCATAAAGGTCTCTACGCACTATTCATCAGTGATGAGCTATTCCAAAGGCTACATGATGTTTGAAGTTCTGTAGCTATTGACTCTGCAGAAAGTTGTGCACCTCAGCTGACCCTGCTCTGTGATTTTATGTGGCTGAGTTTATATTTCCCATTCACTTCCACTTTGTTATACCAGTAACAGCTGACCGTGGAATATTTAGTAGTGAGGAAATTTCATGAATGAACTTGAACACAGGTGGCAGAGGGGTCTCCCAATACTTTTGGCAATATAGTGGGCAATATAGTGGGTGTGTGTGTACATATGTGTATTTTTTCTCTCTTTGGCAGCAATAATCCACCATAATTGTTATTATTATTAAAGTCACGTAATAATGCCCGAACTCACTCCGCAAAGTTGCTTCCCTGCAGCAATCTCTTACCACAAATCTTATAATCTACTATGTTCTTACTTGGTAATCCCTCATGTTTACTCGTAGTTTTGTCTCTTTTTAATTTTCCTCTCTCCCATGTTATGTTATTACAATTGTAATTTAAAAAAATTGTCCTTTTAAAGGGATAACCAACATTGTTGGTTGACAGACATTTCCGGTGGGGCGTTTGGCTAGAAGGACTGCACTATTTCAAAGGTGTGGGTTTAATCTGTTTGTTGTTCTGCTATATTTCAGAAGAGGATGAAGAGAACCAGGATACAGTGGAGCAGATCCTCAAATGCATTATTGAAAATGAAGGTGACAAATATAAGAATTGCTGAATAGTGTTATGAATTTAATTCAGTTAAAGTTCAAGTTTAATGTAGACTAATCTTTTGTTTTATTATCGTCCTTCATTCTGTTTTGTTCTCTGCTATACTGTCATCTGTAAAATACACATGATGGATATATTTTTGAATTAGAGCTGTTGATGTGATATTTGAAATTCTTAGATTTTACCATTTTCATGCCAAAAAGTTTTAAAAAATGACACATCTGGATTTATCGGCAATTTAATTCTTATCAGATTAGATCATCAGCATATGCAGTATGCATCAGCAAATCCATCTTGGTTAGTGCTTCTCTAACATGGGTCCTTCTTGTTGTCACCTTAGCTAACATGGAAGCTTTCAATGAGATGTTGGGAAACCACAATGTCTGTTTGCGCCACGACCCCAGGTAAGCTCACTCAAGAGAGTCTGTTTTAGTGTGACACATTTACTCTCTGTTGATGGCATGTTAATGTCAAAATCAGAATCAGAGTCAGAGTCAGAAAAGCTTTTATTGCTAAGTAGTTTTTACACGTACAAGGAATTTATTTTGGAGATAAGGTGCTACACATAGACAAAAAAGCATACATGTCACAAGGGAACAACATTTAAATGTTTAACCATGAGCTCCACAAATTATAGAATACCCTAAAAATGAATGTTAACAGTGTAGTTTTACTTTGCTTGTAGCCAGTGGTGGACATGGCTATGTTTTAGTGGGGGAAAATTGCATTTATTGATTTTTTTAATGAACAAATTCTTATTGCTTACTTATTACTTCAAAAACATGTTCTCCTACTATTCTTTGCTCTGCTGCTCTCTCCTCCCCTCCTCTGCTCTCCTTTCCTGTCCAACCACAATAAGCACATGTATCATCATATTTGATTATATGATGATTCATGTACTTATTGGTTAACATTACATTAACTAGGCTAGATATGTCAAAGATGTATGTGTCAAATGTTATAAATATTAGTGCAGCGCCCGTTCACTCCTGCCTGCACTTTTTGAAATGTGCAGTGCAGTGCTTGTTCAAAATGTGCGTCTCACATTGGTTTCACCTACAACACGACAGTGGTAGAGAATGTCATAAAACTCCATTTCAACAATTCACTACCCCATCGGTGCATATAAGCCTGCCCCCGCAAGCGAACCCCGACCCTTGCTGTTGCAGAGCGGAGCAGCTCACGCCGTACAGTTTATTCAGTCTTAAACGAGTCCAAATTGCACCAAATGTAACAACACACAATTAAACGACTTGTGCAAAGAGCGCAGCTGGAAGTGTTGGGACACAGCAACACACCCGGCTCATGTGAGGTCGATTGGATGAACAGACACACACACAGATTGATACCTGGCCTTATTAGAGACATGTCCTATGTTTGAATCTTTCTAATTGAAAGCAAAGCACCACCATCGATTTTGATTGGTTTCTCGACAGCTTCGAAATCTGAGCAGGATGTAACTCCGGTGTTGTCTGAGAATTAAGCTTGTCTATCAGGGGTCACTTGGTTTTATTTTCTTTTGTATTAAAGCTCAGTATTTTGTTTCCTTACTGGGATCCAGAAGATGAGGTTTTTGTTTAGATATGGACTCTTGTGGAGATTTGAACTGAGATAAGAACTCATCCATTGGTGGGTGCGCAGTGGGTGTTGTATTGAGCACTGGCTGTATGTATGTATATTATGTGATATTATTTAATGTCATGACTTGACTCTCAAATTATCTTTCTGTTAAATTATTAGAATATGATAGTTCTCCTCCCCTGCTCATCAAGCAACTTATTTTACTTTGTCCCTTTCTAATGTGCTTCCTTATTATAATGTCTGATATATAGAGTAATAAATTTTGATTGTGAAATATCTGGCTGTTAGTAAGGTAAAAGCCATAAGTCCTTTGGGCATGCAAACATAAATATATTGAACACTGAATGACATTATTAACATTAAATTATAAATAAGCTGAATGTTGTTCCTTGTGAGTGGCAGACAAAAAAACAATACTGGCATGCCACAGTGGTGGGCAGTAAAGAAAATCTTCATTTCAGACACTGCTCACAGAGGAGCTGCTGTGCTCATGATCAAGAACATCCTGTTGTACTTTTTCTTGTTACGTCAGGTGTGGTTTGGACTCAAGATCAGACGGAAACAGTGAGTTGAGGTTCAAATGAGGGTTTTAATGATAACTCAGAAAGTAAGTGGAGTAGTGCTGGTGAGTTAACCGGAGCTGGTCTACGGGGTTGGAGACAGCGTGGTGGAACTGAAGTCCGGTTACGGTTGCGTTGGCATGGGAAGTGGTGTGGCAAACGGGAATCCCAGGCACTGAAAAAAAACAGAAAAAGATGATACTGCAGGTTCTTTCACAAAAACAAGTTAATCACTCAAGGTCTTCAAGAGGTTTGGCTGTGCATAGTTACCACTGGAGTGAGAACAATGTGGCAGTGGCAGTCAGGAGCACAGAGTATTTAAGCCTAGGCTTTATTGGCAGATTGGCAGCAGCTGTGCCGGAGAGTCAGGAACCTGGGAAGACCACACCCACACCACACACAGAGAGACACACTCCCAACAAGACTGGTCACGGATAGACCGTGACATTTCTTCCACTTGTTTGGCTTCCATTTTAGCATAGTAAATAGTAGAGATGCAACAATTACTTGCTTAGTTGTGAACTATTAAATAAACTGTTTTGATAATCTATATATTTTTTTAAAGAAAAATTATCTGATTTTGGCTTCTTGAAGGGATATGCACACGAACATGTCCAAACAGCAACCGAACGCTCACTTACATGCGTAATGGATGCATGGATGCATAATTCCAGCTATAAATTCCAAACTATGCACATGCTACTATAATAAGAATAACATAATATGATGACAATGATAATGATTACATTGTACATAGATGAATGATGATAATGTTGCTGTCCAGGTTGCGTAAGGAGTCTATTGGTGGTGTTCCTCCACATCACCACACAGTCCACTCAGGCACCGACCACAACTCCTGCCACCTCTGTGCTCAGGTCCGATCAAAAAAGGGCCGCCGTCAAAGTCGAACCCCCCGCTCCAAACAACGACCTGGAGAACAGACTGTCTTCTCTGTTGGCAGGTAACAACGCACAATTAAACGACTTGTGCAAACAGCGCAGCTGGAAGTGCTCGGATAGACTAGCTGAAATATTTTGTTGAATTTACCATTATCCCTTCAGGTTCCGAGTGACACACACTGATAAGAAGCTCCATGGAAGTCCTCATCTGTTTGTCAGTTCAGGGGATCAGCTGGACCAATCCCAGGACAGTGAGGAGCGGAAGGAGGGCGTTTACAATCTGAGAAGCATGTTCAAGGATGTGCGACCGCCTTCAGAGAGCTCCAATGGGGTTGCTTCAAGTGTGGGGAAACGTAGAAAGAGTGTAAGCATATTCGGGCTGAGGCGGGGCAGTGACCCTGTTGGCATTAAAGTAGGAGAGGAGACATGTGGGGAGACCGGAGGTGTTAGATTCGCTGTTCATCAGCAACCTGTAGTGCTGGAGGAACTGTTGCACTCCGAGAACATTGGAGTTGCCTCTGAAATTATTACTAAACCTGGTATCAATTCTGAAATTGAGTTCTCAAAAAATCAAACACCTGCTTCACCTCAATGTGAGGCTAAAAATTCAGGTTCTGTTAATTCTCCCTCTTCCCAAAGTAAGAATCAGGCCCATGAGTCTAACTCTGCTCTTGTAGATGGCTCTAAACATGGGCCCAGTCTTGAACTTCATATAAACCTTATGATCAAACCTTCTATTGGGAGTACAGCGGCTTCTGCCCCCAGCTCTCTTCCTCTTCCATCTCCTGCTTCATCTGGACAGATTTTTAAGACAACAGAGAAACAAGGAGATCTCGAGAATAAGGTGTTAAAAAATGAGTCATATGATCCTGGGCCACAACAGACCTCTACACCCATTGCCCCCATGCCTGGATCTATTCCAAGTTTCACTCCTGTCATTCCTAGAGGTCAACCCGATCCCTTTCCTAGCACATGTTTTCTAGTTAACCAAACTCCCCCTGACCCAAGCTCCAGCACAGATTTGAAACCAGTTTTAGGTGCTAGTCTAGCTTTAATAAGCCAAGGTTCATCCCCTTCATCTTCATTCCCAATCAAGACTCCCTCTTCAGCCTCTTCATTAAAAACTTCTACCTCAACCCTGGCTGTCACACTCAGCCCCAAACTAAGCTCAAGGAACATGCCATCAGAGGCTGCACAAACTACCATTTCACCTCCACTCCCATCAGGCCAAGGGATGTCTAGCCAATGCCCTATTCCATCTTCATTCTTTGAAAAAAGCACTAGTCCATTACAGGCCGGAAATCCCTCACCTGCTCTTACTGCTAGCCCCAAACTCAACAATATACCTGTATCACTCACAACCCCTTTTTCTTCTCCAGCTGATAAAAAACTATCCATGGGTTCACCTTGTCTGTCAGGAGGTGTAACATCAATGACCAAAGGGGATATGGTTTCAAGCCAGTTATCTCTAAAAGAACAAGAGCTAGAAACAGACAGAATCCCAAGGGCAGTAGAAAAGACAGAAATAAGGAGGGTTGGGATTCTCAAAACAGCTACACTTTCACCAGTTGAGGGAGATTCTAAAGGTTTTCCCCAGTCCTGTCCTACTGATCAGCTAGAAAGACTGAACAGTTTGCCTCTATCACCTATAAGGATCAGAAAAAGTAGTGTGAGCATTGTCAAAGCCAGCCTTGATAGCAAGAGAGAGTTTTCTGATGTCACTATGCTGGAAAGTTCGACTTCAATATCAGACCAGAAAGGACAGACCTCTGAATTTGGGGTTAAATCAAAAAAGGCCAGAATTATCGCAGCAGTAGGTCAGGAAGGAGAGCTTTCTGTTTCAGGTGTTGGACAACCTGAAAGTCAAAGTGGAGAGAGTTCTGCAGCCGAGGTTAGGCCAATGGTAAGCAAAGAGAAGGATGATATGGTGGAAATGGAAGATATTAGGGACTGCAAAGTGAAGCAGGTGGAAGAAGCAGAGAGAATAGAGGAAAAATTGTAGAAGTTGGGGAAGATTTAGTTGAAACAGCATTGATAGGTTGTGTCTCATTTAGCGTCTCAGGTTGCTGCTGCAATGGAAAACGGAGGAAGGCGGGCCAAAACCATGTTGAGTAGAGTCGAGGCAAGGCGAGTTGAGCTGGTACCAGTAATGGAAAGTGATAAAATAACAGGGGGATGGCTGACTGGGAAACCTGGACCCCATCCAGTTGGGCTTCCTTGTACTTTGCTTATTTTCTGGCCCCTTGAACTGATTTTTAGGGCCATTTCTCTGAAATAATGTACAATTATTACATTAAATTGTCCAAAAAAAAAGAAAAGGGCACTTTTGCTCCAAGCGTTGTCAATTGCTGACCCGACCTATATCGATAAATAATTGAGAATTATTACATTACATTACATTTTGATGGAGTGTTTCTATTTTAAGTGGCACAGCCTTTAAGGCTTAACCACGCCAGCCTGTTCTCATGCTCAGGCATCACATATACACGCTTTGGAAAAGCCGTGTCTATTGTACGCAAAACGGCGATCTTGTGTGTATAGTGGATGCCCCCAGGTACATGTGTTTTTGTTTAAGGAGTTGATAGCCCCCCTGAGGCAACTTCCCTAACTTTAACCATGCCATTAGTTAGTGCCTAAACCTAAGTCAGTAAATATATGCATGTCGACCGGCCGATGTGCTAGCAGGTAGGGTTAGCCTCCTTTGTGTTGCAACACTATTGCAAACTGCAACGTATCATATACACGCAAAATCGCTGTTTTGCGTACGATAGACACGGCTTTTCCAAAGCGTGTATATGTGACGCATGAGATGCGATCGGGTTGACCAAGCACACCTAAGGACAATTTAGAGTCACCAATTAACCTAGCCCGCATGTCTTTGGACGGTGGGAGAAAGCCGGAGCACCTGGAGAGGACTCACACAGACAACATGCAAACTCCACACAGACAGGGCAGGACGTCTGGGGTTCTGCTGTGAGGAGACAGTGCTAACACTAATGAGTAGAAAATATAATTTCACATGGCGTGCTCTAAAAATAAAAAAAGTAGACAGTGAAATCAGAGCTTGTAATAAAGAAGACTTTTAATATTCAATCTTCCCACTGGCAGTTCCAAAGCAGTATGTTTCATATGTTCTGAGACCTTGGCGATTATTAAAAGCAGCAGTGTGAAGCGCCACTACAACACAAAGCACAGAGCATCATTTTTGGTTCACAAGAGGCTTTTGGTCATTTTGAAACAAGAGGGTAGCATCCCACCTCAAATCATCCATCTAAAGGAAAGGAAATGTTATAGTAGTAATTAGGAACACACCTTTAATCATTTAACCACAGCAGTGAAAATGTTGCAGTGGGATTGTACTAAGCACTAGTTGACTAATTGACTAATGGACAATCATCAAATATTCTCCCATTACTAGATTTAAAGGATGATATGATGGATGTCTTTGTTTTATATGTGAGTAGCTGACCATTCGGCTGGCTGATTGATTAATTAACATCTAGGTGTTGTATTGTATGTACATGTGCAGCAATTAAAAACACGCTGCAAATATACCAACGCACTGCAATGCACCACATACACTAAAAAGGTTTGGATTATCTGGGGCGATTAGGATTATTACATAGTCGAATCAGAATTGACAAGTCTTGCCTATAGTCAACTGATAGTCGAATCATGTCTGTGGAAAACGGGGGGGTACACACGGTAGCTCAACTTTAATCTTGTGAAGCTGCAGAGCTGCAGTCTCATTTGTCACTAACTTACACTGCATTTCCAGCAAAACTGAGGCTTATTGTTTACCATATTCTCTCTGCTCGCCTGCTTGCCATGCGGCCTATTCCGAGTACTGTTTAAAAACAATATATATATATTCTTTGTGTGGTTCATCAATGGTAATAAATTATCCGAACATTCCGCGATGTGCGGATTACTCGGCACAACAGCGGTGAGGCTGGGGCTCTGTCTCTTCAAGCTTAGCAAATTTCACTAAAATCTCAACAGCTAGTGTAGCTTTGTAGTGGTTCTGGGTGTGACTGTTCAGACATGCTTTTATTCAATTATCAGTTTTGATGCATTTTAGATGTTCTGTATTTTATTGTTGTTTGTTAAGGATTTTATTAGATATTTGGTCTGTAAATATAGATTTTCAATAAAAAAAGTTTGAATTTTAAAATACATATCTTTAAAGGCCGTTTTTTCTCAAACGCTGAGCTACAAATCTCCACAACACTTACATACACCAAACCTTAGGGCCTGAGCATGAAACATGCTAGTGGAAGGTATTTTTTTTTCTTTTTTTGCAAAGTAAACTCATTTTTGTCAGCCTAAATATGCTCAAAACCTCACCAAACTTTGCACACATCGGAAGTTTTTTTATGGGTCTGAAAAAATTTGCCCCTGCACCACTTTCAACCTACATGCACAAGTAAAGACACACAATAAAGCCTCGATGACCCTAAACTCAACAGGAAGTCATTTTAAAGTGCAATTTTAACCTAGACCATACTCTGTGATATTATTTACAAAAACCCAACAATTCCCACCAAGAGCAGCACTAGGCAACACAGGCTTCCTTCCAAACTTCCTTCCTTTTAGGAGGCAGAAACCTCAAGCAGAACCATGGCTCAGGGTGGGCGGCCATCTGCCTCGACCGGTTGGGGTGAAGGAGAGAGAGAGAGAGAGAGAGAGAGAGAGAACCATAAAAGAGGGAGAGGTGGTTGGGGGGGAGCAGCCCACACAAGAAGTAGGTAATGATGGTACAGACTGAATGAATACTGATAACAGATATTTATAGTAATGTTTATGCTAATAATCGTAATTGTAATGATAATAACAATAATAACAATAGGACTAGTAACAATAGTCGTTGCAGCAGAGGGTGTCGAGCAGGAACACGGGGGCAGCAGGTGACCCGCAGCCACAGATCCAGACTCCACAGCTCCAGAGCCAGAAAACCTGCAGGAAGTGATAGGAGGAGAGAGGAGAGGGACGAGAAAGCACAAGACTACCAGAAAGGGGAGAAGTTGTGTTAGTAACATGCAATAATGGGATGAGGTTGCATACAGAGGGAGAGAAAGTAGAGGAGAGAGGAGCTCAGTGCATCATGGGAAATCCCCCGGCAGTCTAGGCCTATAGCAGCATAACTAAGGGATGGTTCAGGACTCACCTGAGCCAGCCCTAACTATAAGCTTTATCAAAGAGGAAAGTCTTAAGCCTACTCTTAAATGTGGAGATGGTGTCTGCCTCCTGAACCCAAACTGGTACCTGGTTCCACAGGAGAGGAGCTTGATAGCTGAACGCTCTGGCTCCTAGTCTACTTTTGGAGACTCTAGGAACCACAAGTAACCCTGCATTCTGGGAGCGCAGTGCTCTGGTGGGGTAGTAAGGTACTATGAGCTCTTTAAGATAAGATGGTGCCTGACCATTAAGAGCCACATGCCACCAGAGCAGGGGAGTCCCTCTCTAACTTCCAAGTCCAATTTTGACTGTTATTTGTGTCCCCTTCAATATTGCACCCCAACTGTTAGATGAAATTTGGATCCCATGGATACACAGACCCGGCTTCAGTAACTTTGTAAGTCACAAACCACAAGTCACAGACCATGGCAACAACAGGTGTGCCGAAGCGGTGTTCAGCACTTTTTAGTGTCCTCTGGAAACACTGTGTTGTTGTTGCGTATTTGCAGTGTGTTTTCTGAATGTCTTATCAAATTAATAATTAATTCTTAAGTTGCAGTGCATTTGCCTTGTTGACCTGCTAATGGATTGGATATGTGATTAATTTATTGATTTTATAACTGTCATGATGATTTATTGATGTATAGGGGGCTAGGGCTGGCAACATCTAATCTTATCTTTCAATCTTTCTGATTGTGAATCTGTTTGGCCAATGGAGATGTAACAATTTAATGAATGTCTTGTAATTATGTTTGACCCCACACTTTACTGTAGTTACTTTTGGCAAGTACTCTTAAAAAACATGTACTAGTGTAATAAGGCAATTCCCCTTCTAACTATACTACATTTCCTGTACACCAGTAACTCCAGTCTCAGCCATTTTAGAATTCTAGAATTGTGATATTAATACATATCTAGCAAAATATTAGCTTTTCTGGCTGTACAAGTCTTGTTTTTGCCATTTTGCCGTGTTTTCATCTTAAGTTGAAAGTTTACCATGAAGTGCCAACCAAAGGAATTACAGCTATTGTTCTGACGATTGTATTATCAAGCAGTACATGCCAGGGCATGACAGTGAGGGAGTCCCATATGCAAAACAAGCTCAGAGACATGAAAATGGCCGTTCTGCTTCTGTGCGCTGTTGAATCTCTGTCCGTAAAACTGTATCTTCTATTTTCTTCTTAGACTAGAAAACATTAAAATACATATTCTAGAAATTATTAGAAGATGGATATGTTTATTTTTGTGCTGTTTGCTTCATGGACACCGTGAGTGAATGTTGTAATGAATAGATTTTATTTTTGTAGTCTACAGAAGTGCATTATGGACTTTTGCCTACTTACTTTCATTGTTGTAGCTTATGTTCAAGTTCAGTTTTTTGATAGGCCTACTTTTAATGATTGATGTTTGAATGTAAAGATAATAATTTTAACTGCCTACTAAAAGATCCCTTGAAGGGCACCTCTACTCGGAAGGGAGAACATCCACCCAGTCGAGAGAACTCACTCCTGAATAGTTTGCGTACACTTTCTCTATACACTAACAGATGATTAGCCGGGATTGAACCGCGAGCTTCCACCCCAAGATACCAGTCGTTCACTGCTGCCACATATTCTGCTTTTTCTGCAGTAAGTTTTTTGGGGTTCAATAAAGAAAGACTTTGCAGCAGAATGATCCCCAAAACTCTACTACCAACAGCATAGCCCAGCATGTAACGACAGGCCAGCTTTGAAGAACTTCAGCCACTGTCACAACTAGCACAACATGACCTCCCTGTCATTCAATCTCGTTATCACGTCAAATTTCATCAACACGCCCACAGTGGCTGCAAAACACACACAAAGTCCATCTTAGCGGAACCTCTGGCTTCTCTTCCAAACTTCCAAGCACATTCTCAGATAACCCAACTTCTTAGAGGTCTTCAACGTCAAGATCCATCTCAAGACCCCTGCGGCCTTCCTCTTACAGCAGACTCGCTGTCCGTCTGCATCCACACCATCTGCGCTGGTTAGAGCATCCCCCACTTGACTTGAACCTTAGACATCACGTCCACACTTGCTCTCTTCATTAATTTCACTGCATCTCCCCTTTGCTCGACCTTCGACCCTCAACCGGCGTCATGCCCGCAATTCAGTCATTC